TCCACAAAAGTCAAAGCTGTAAATGTGGAGGAACAAGCATATTACACTTTATTGAAATTATGAATAGCGTTTATGCAAAAAGAAGATCGAAATAAGAATGAAGATATCAATAATAATTTCATGTGCATTTTTCTAATTATTGGTTTAGTTAATATTAAATGGTTTAATATGAGTAAGATTCAGATAAGTTAATTAAGAATGGATAATTAATGTGATTTATTACATATTATATGTTGAATACAATGAATAAGATTTTTTAAAATATTATTTTAAGTATGTTATATTATTAACAATAAAAATATTATTAAAAAAAACAAATGGTCTAGGCTTTTGGTTCCTTGTTAAATTATGTGAGCTATCAAACTCTGATGGTCAGTCCAGATTTTTATTTTTATTTTAGTATGATAATATAACCTTACAATATTCTTCTTGGATATAAACCTTGTATTGTCCTCTCTAAATTAATTGCAAAATTCAATATCTGCAGAGTCAAATGTCCATTTTTCAACTCTCCCATCCATCCTTTCTGTTTGTTTCTTGTAGACTGATTCCTTTTTCCTTTCAAAGGTTAAGCTCCTTTGAAAATATTTGTCCTAAATACTCCACTGCTTGCTTTACTGATATCAACTTTTATCTATAGTAGTATGCACTGTCCAAAAGTATCTTTATACCATTGCAACCTTCATCCCCATTATAAAATTTAAACACAATGTTATATGGTGCCTCTATATACAGGAAGATCTCAATTTACATTAGGATTGAGTTATTGGACTTTGATGTTACTTGAGACTGATATAAATAGGGGAAGTCAGTTCTATAGGGAATCGTTGCAAAACATGGGGATGTGTTCCAACTGAGCTGAAGGAACCATAATGTTAACAATTTTACTCAACCCACCATTAATTTTATAGAAGTTTAATGCATAAAACATTAGAGCTCGTCTTTTCCAAGCTAGAGAAATGTGCAGATGCTCTCCAGAGAGGCCAGAAGAGGCTACAAATGCTGATCCCAAGGGGGCTTGGCTGGGTTTTGCTGGCTTGCCATTTGACAATGGTTCCTTTTTGGAGGAGGAAACGGACAAAAAGCAACTGGTAAGAACTTTCTGCTACTATGCCTTCTCCAGCGATCTTTCCATTTTCAGGAGAGAGAGAGAGGGAGAGAGAGGTAGCCCATTTCTTGCTGGGTTTTTGCAGTAAGCGTAGAGGGCACAACAGAAGGAGAGGCAGCATGTTTCCAGTACAGTAACCGGATGAACTAAAGAAATCAAAAATAAATCAATAGTCATTGCAAAAAATGCTCAATGATTTCTTTCTCACTCAATCCTCCATGATAAGCTACATTTAGGATGCCACAAAGTTCTTCATCATTTTTACTGCACTATTTAGCAGGATTGAGCCTTTGGGCACTCTTACTGTTACCCACATGCTCTTTCCCCATTGTTACTTCCTCACCTAAGCAGGCAGAGGAAATTCTTCCCTTCAGCCATACCAAAACTCCAGATTCCAGTGTCTTCCTCGCTCCTCCTTACACAGACCATTTCTTTCTGGCAACACCAAGACTGTATAGTTGCTTTCTCTTCCCGTCCCTGTTCCCTCAACCTGGTGTTGTTGTTGTTGTGTGCCTTCAAGTCATTTCCGACTTATGGCGACCCTATCATGGGATTTTCTTGGCAAGATTTGTTCAGAGGAGGTTTGCCATGGCCATACCCTGAGGCTGAGTGCATGCGACTTGCCCAAGGTCACCCAGTGAGTTTCATGGCCGAGTTGGGAATTGAACCCCAATCTCCAGAATGGTAGTCCAACACCCAAACCACTATGCCATGCTGGCTCCCATATTCAACCCAGGCAGGTAAAAAAACAACAAATTCAGCCAGCTTTTCTCATGCCAAACTCCATTTCCTATCACTCTCCACGTTCTCTTGCCTTTCCTGCCTTGCTCAACTGTACAAGCATGCTGTGAGAGCTAGGCATTGTGGGTGAAGGATTTGTTTATTTAGTTGTTTATTTATTTGCTTATTTCAGGGGAAACATTGCAAATTTGAAATGTTGTAAATGACGGAAAAGTAAATTGAGACTACCTTGTATGCTTTTTAAAAAAAAATAATAATAATATTGGGCATCACATGCCACAAACAACCCAGATAATATGATCAAACGTGGAATTTTAGTAAACTGTACAACTGGGAACTCAGTACTTCCTTTCCATTTCTTTCCCTTGTGTAAATATACTTTTATGGAAAAGGAAAAACATTTTGGTTTGGGGGATTTTAGGAATAAAAAGAAAAGAAAAAGAAAAGAAATTAAACATGATGGGAACAGTATAGAAACAACATGTCATAAATTAAGTTATTTAACTCTGCAGTCCTTTCCATGTTAAATGTGTATAGGATTGCAGCCTCCATTGTTTTAAGTAGAATTAAGTTGATTCTGTAATTCTAGGATACTAGTCTATGTGACCAGAATGATATATGTCTCTAAAGAAAATATAGTGGGAACTCTTTTCTCAAGAATGCATTTAAAGGCCATTCCAAATTGCTTAAAATGCAGACCAGATTCCCCATTAACCAATTTTATACTTTCTGAACCTCTGTCCCTGCCACCCCCACCCCAGCCAGCCTATGGTCTTTAATTGAATCTCAATTTAAAATTTGCATGCATTCAAATCAGTATGCAAATAAGCAATGGTTCCCATCCCCTTCTCTCCCACTCCCACCCCACCCGGACTCCTGCACACAGACTGACATTCCTAAGGTTGCTAAATGGTAACCACAGTCACTGCCACCCTTAAAATGTTACAATTTTTTTTCTCGTCTTTTCAAAAATAGAAGCTTAGCCATTAAACTAAAGGGCCTAAGCCTGATTTCTCAGACAGAACAGGTCATGAAAATCAAGGACATTTACTTATTTGTGAAAGTGTTTGATGGGTGGGTGTGTGGGTGTAAGAGTATTAATCTGTTTTGCATAAGCAGAAAGCCATCAATAATAATAATGGCAGTTCTAGGAATTCAGGAAGGTGTCCGTCCTGCTTTAGCCAAGGTCAGGCTAAGGAGGAGACTGTGATTAACACAAAGCTTCATGGCTGAGCTGTCTGAACCTAGCACTCTGCAGTAGTAGGGGTCAGGAACTGGAGGTGTGTGGATGGACCCAGGCCCACTCCCATCTCTGAGTGATGCCAACTGGCAACCAGTTGCTGTCATAGGTCTGGCTAAAGTAACACCTCTCTCAGGTACCTGTTAACCAGAACTAGACCAGTGGATCATATGGGTCTTAGATGTTGGATCACAACTGCTAGCATTTTTCACCTGTGGCTGGGCAGGCCAGGACGGCTGGGACGTGTAACCCAGTAGCATTTGGAGGTTCACATGAATTGCTATCCCTCAACTAGATGCTGTTTCTGTTTTGCCTAACTTTCCTGTCACTGTTGTGTGTGTGGAGAGGTGCAGGTGGAGTGACAAGATGGACAAAGATGGAAAATAAAGCTGTGTAGTTCCAGATTTGGGTTTTTGTCATTGCTTTTTGTGGTGCTGGTGGTTTTTTTCATAACTGAAAGGAGAGCATCAAGGTTCGTTTCAAGGTAACATGAACTATCCTCTTTGGATGGGCAATCCTGACTCATTGGCAAGGGACTAGAAACAAGAGTTTATAGTACTGGGCTAAGAGATTTGTTGCTTGTTGTTTTTTGTTTATCCACCTGTTTTCTGACTCCTTGAATACCTTCTCTCCCTCCCTCCCTCCCTCTGAAAAAGAAAGGCCTGCTGTTACTGAAACAAGTCAGTACTGTCGGGCATCTGAGTCTCCCTCTTTGTTTTGCTGCTTGTGCGTTAGGTGGGTTTACTGGCCAGATGCAATGAAATTTGCAACAGACAGCCTTAGACCATCTGTGCATTGTTTGTGGTGGGTGGAGGGAGTGGATGGGTGGGGGGGCCCCTGAAAGAAAGGCTATTTGTGTAAGTCGTGGGAAACCTAGTGGCTGGCCTTGCCAGCATGCTGTATGAATTGAACTAATTGAAGATTAGACTGGAGAGCTCGCCCTAGCTGAGGCAGAGGATAATCCTTCATCAGTCGCAGTTGAAGGCCAGTAATTGGAGCTTATTACAGGGTGGGTTTCCCCTACAGTGCTGGAGAAACTGAGAAGAACTTGATGTTTAATTATGAATTCTCAACAGAAATTGGGGTTACGAGCTCTGGGCATGTGTTAAAAGTCTGGAGTAAGAATAGATGTCCAGCAAGAGGGAAGAAGAGGGAGGGAAGTCGTGCCTATATATATATATATATATAGTCTGGGCTAACTGTTAAAACAAAAACAATACTGATGCTGCACAGACGAACATTATAGCATGCCTAATGAGCCCTTGGATTGTATGGAATTAACTCGAAAAATCTATCTGCAGGGGGGGAAAATTATTGTTGTTTCAAATAATACTGGAACGATTTTTATTTATTTGCAACAAATACAGGGGTAAGAATTTTTAAAGGGCTGTTAATCTGCTATACTCCTATACAGTTTCTTTTTCCATGTTTAAGTTCACACTGCTGATGATCATAGTGGATGTTTCAATTTAAGACAGGTCAAGTGAAACTCAAGATCATTGGAGGGGAACCACGAAGACTCAGCCATTCAACAAGTGTCCAGTCTTCCCAGGCCATTAATCTCACTAAGCTGCACTTGTTCAGTCGGTACCCACAGGCCTAGACCCAGTTCACAACTATCCAAGTCACAACTACTATAGGGTTTACAGATGTGTTGACTTCATCATGTTCATCAGTTGATTCAGTTGATCTGCACTAATTGAAAGTACTGGTTTGGACCACATTTACTTCTGGAGGATATTGAGCTCATTTACCAATGTATTTACATGTGTTGCACCTCAGCTGCTATTCAATTAACCATGATGGCCACTTTCATTATAATCAGACCATCCAGTCCAAGTCACCTCATAATTTCTGGGTATGAGGTTATGTCAGATACATTAGTCTGTATTCTAGAAGAAGAAAAAGAAATATGTATCTTTTAAATAATAATAAGAAGAAGAAGTTTTATTTATAGCCCGCCTCTCTGCATAGCAATTGAGGTGGGTTACAACATTTAAAACATAATAAATTAAAACATTCCCTCCTCCCATAATCTGCCCTCCCAC